CACAGATCACCTACACTGATGCCGTTTATGAGAAAGTCTGAGTAATGTAGCAAGGAGCCAGTTTTCTTGGCAAGTCCTTATTAATTTTTAGATTTCCAACACTGCCCAGCACAGCATAGTGTGAAGAGCACATCTGCCCCTTTCCTTGAACAAACACACCAGTCTGAGCACAAAATCAGACCCTTCAAAGAGCTGATTCAGTCCAGAACTAAGCTAAGATACTATTACATATTTGCCACAAAGCTCCAAAGTATAGAGGACCTCATCAGGTGATAGAAAAGCACACCTGTACACTTTTTCTTCTCATTGATAAAACTGACTGCATAAGTCAAGACAATCTAATCAAATTCAACACCATTTTACCTGCAAAAGGTTTGATTATTTTTAATAAGCAGGATCACAACAGTCCCAATATTTGAAGACAACATAGTAACATCTGACTTTTCTGTTATGAAGACTTGCTCTTTTCTTCACTAAATATCTTGGGTTGCATCAACTGAACTACTAAAACATCTTAGTCCTAGGCTGAACAGACTAAAGCCAAAAGTTTAAAGTTTTCAGTGAGACACAATTTGCCATTTTCACTTTGTTAAGTAGACTCTTTTGCATAAATTAAGTAATTGGAACTTAAGTATTTTTAAAACAAAATTTATCTTTAGTTCAGTATTTTTATGACAGTAGAGAGTAATCTCTGCAGTAGTCAATTCTATCCTTTCAGGTGCTTTTAGAGAGAAATCTACAGTACTTCATGTATCAATTTCAGTGTTAATGCCTTCCAAGATAAACGTATTGACCACAACAGTAGCATAGAACTTTTCAAATCCTACCATGAAGTTCCTAGGCCCAATTAGGTCACCTAACAAGTAGCTACACTGCTGCTTGTTTGCTATCTTCCTCTCTCCCTCCCCTTCCACCGCTGATAGCCATACTGAAATACCAGGAGAAAATCATCACTTATTAGAGAGGGTGCACTTGTCAAGAAGCAGCATTGGCTCCTAGTGTAGCAAACGATTCTTTAGTGTCAGCCCTGTAGGCCTCATGCAGGACACCTATTTCTTATGGTAAATCTTTCATTCAAGCATCATCCATTAGATGTAACAAACTTCCCCTGAAAGGCAGTGGACAGCCAGCCACAACGCTGAAGGCCCAAAAAGGCATTTCTATCGACCTGCAACTGAGTAGGTGCACTGTTAAGACACTGAGACCCTCTATTCCACAGCTGTGCAAAAAATCCCTCAGGGGTATTTGCACTCTGCAGAATCAAGTGCAATGAATCAGCACTTGCCAACCCTACAAATGCAGGGAAAACCCAGCAACCTGAACAAAGCAAGTGTGCTTAGCAGAACTCTTCTCCTGTTGTACCCATGTGAACTGCACTCAAACTGATTGAGAAATAACTGATTGATTAAATACGCTTTAATATAAACAGCATTTAAAATCAAGACTGCCATTAGAGTGACAAAATCACGTATGCTTGTAGTAGAAGAATGAATGGTTGAGAGGAATTAGGACAGAAGCAGCATTGTTCAACAGGTAATAGAAAGGAAAGTGAAAAACAGTAATTTGAACAAAAGAGGAAGAAAATGAAAGTTATTCTCCTGGAAGAAATAAAATAAAAAACTGCAATGTCATCTAGTTTACTGTGGGGTTTTTTATAGTCTGTTTCATTACAAATAGGAAAGAGTTAAAGAAAGGGGGGAAAAAACTGCACTTATGTAATAAGCACAAAAAAGATTCCTCCAATACATTAATTAGTTCCAGCTCTTTCATCTCTTGGTTTATTTTGATAAGCTGACCATACCACCTTTACCATACTAAACCAGAACAAGAATATAGAGAATATAAGGAGTCGCCCTGAACTGATACTCTGACCCAGCCATCTTAACAGCTTTTTACCAGTTAAGTGCAATCAATAACTTTATCCATTAGAAGCAGCAGATTGCCCAGAGGTTTGAAAGTATCTTTTACCAAAACACAGAAGACATTCATAACTACATTTCATCAGCCATGTTTCTCATAGGTCTTATGTTCTGAACTCATCTTAACATGTTTGTATTTGGGATCAGTCACATCACGTAACAGAAAAACTTCACCTCAAACTTTCAGCAGGCTTAAGGAAATCATTATAGCGATTTGAGCCTGATATCTCTGAAATTTCCTTAAATTGCTATGTGTGTTCAGGTAAAACAAGTACTGCATTTTCAAGTCAGAGTGCAGAAGCCAGCAATCTCCAGTACCTAACCGACCAGAGATTTCTTTTTTTTAGTAGGGCTTTTTTCATATATTAAGAACTGAAACAACCATCCTTTTTCAACCCAACCCCAGTGCAAATGATTGAAGAATGCATCAACTTTCATGTTCAGAAAGGTTCATAATAATAGTGTTTGAAAATTTACATTTGTAGAAATAATTATATCTTTAGATCCCTCACATTCCATTTATTTGCATTTCTTCATCATCATTAGATCTAGCGTTCTGCATGTGTGCAGCAAAGGAGAGAAGAAATTAAATGTCTAGCAATATGAAAACATGCATTATCTTCCATAAAGAAATATCATTTCATAGAAAAGATATCTGCAATTATCATAACTTTTTCCTGTTTGTTGTGTGGTTGGTTGGTTGGTTTGGGTTGGTTGTTTCTGATTTTTTTTTTTTTGTTTCATTGGCCATCTTGCAGTAAGAAAAGATTTCCAAAATTCAACTGTTAAAACATTTTTTTCACTGCATAATCTAATAATGTGTCACAGTACAAGAAAACCTCATAGAATATATGGAATATCATTCAATCATTCTACAGTTTGCATCAAAGTCATCATTAATAAGTAGCTCTGCAAACTCTGACCAAAAAGCAGAGCAACACAATTACAACACCACTATCTTGTCTGTCAGTTCTAACACTGCAACATGACACTGGTCTGAGGGACAAGGAGTCCTGACAGAAAAATCCAGTGGAAAACAATAGCATGAGAGGATTCAGCACACTTCGCTGTGACCTGACTTTTGCTGTTTTATTTAAAATAGAAAATTTGCTCAGCAGTAGGCAGGAGCTGAAAGATCTAAATTATTATGGTAACAAAACAATCTCACCATGAGACTAGTGTCACTTGTGTAAGGTCTTTGACAGTCTCATTTCCATGGTTTTAGAAATTACCAGCAACTGTCCATTCCCTTTGCTGGATAAAGCTACCTTAAAACAAAAATTCCTTATATATCAAGTGCTTATTTTAACAGTATAGAATATATTAGCACAAACCACTGATGAAGGCAGCTTTATGCCAGTACAGACTCAATGTAGGAGAATAGCAAGGGAAAACTCTTGAGGAAAAAAGGCAGGTGGAATAAGAGCTAGATTCCACCAACTTGCCTGTCAGCCATAACTCTCCAGTGCTGTTCTTACAGCATACATTAGTAAGATCTCACAAAATGATAGTCTGTATTTCCCTTCTTATGTTCAGTAAGATTTACACTTTAATAAGGAGTAGCCACAAAAAAAGTTCTCTAAATGTCTAAATACCAACTGAATACTTAACTGAATCTCAAAGTAAGCAATTACCACTTTTCCTTAATACAACTTACATCAGTACCTGCTGCAGCACTAACACAAACTTCATATATTCCAACTAGCAAGAGAAATTAACTACCTCCCGAACAGAAGTTTCCCTTTCCAGCCCTGCACATGGTCACTCTGTCACATGCTCAAGTTTGTCTCTCTAGAGTCAGAAGTATAGAAAACACATCCTTGAACAGTGCAAAAGTTAAATCTCTCTTCTTTATCCAATCACAGTAATGGTACTCTACAGCCTCTGGGATAGTTTAGTTTTAGTCCACAAGCAAGTTGAAGACAAACTCTCCACTTAAGATTTTTGCACAGAACTCTTCAGAATCCCTTAAAACAAGGCACAGATGTCAGTTTTATAGGTGAAAATAAATTAGTTGAAACACAAAATCAATAGCTAAGCAGCTAGGTCTTTCCAACTTCAAGTAAACAAAGGCAGTGCTAACAGCCAGATTAAACAAATAAAAATAAAAAATAATAATACATAAAAATCAGTAGAAGAATGGATCAGTAGATCAACTTTTTTTTTTTTTTTTAAATAAAAGACACATCTATACCGAAAACTAGTATGAAAGCAGACAAATAAAGACTAAATGGCTTTTATGCTGTGAGGAGTCAGGCATCCACAACAGCATTTCACATGGACATAATGATTCTGTGATATACTGCAGAACCTTTCTAATACACAGCAGCAGATCAGAAAGCAGCAGGTTACAAAGAAAGCAGCGCCAAGTCATCTATGACCTACAGCTTTTTATTTCAATCTTTTATTCATTCTATATGAAAAGTTATCCATCATTAAAAACACCACCAAACTTACAGAATTACCACAGAATTGATAATTAGATGCAGAAATTAGATGCAGAGATGGCCATTACCAACAGAACTCACATTGATACAAACTATTTGAAAACTGTAGGAAGAAAACATTCTCTGAAAAGGTTCAGCCTAAAGAGGGTCTGACAGTCCATGCAAGAAATAAATAAGTAAATAAATACACGCTACCTTTGCTGTGTATCATAATAATTGCATTTCAGGTATACCTGAAGTGTCTCTCCAGGAATTTTTACAAGCAAAATCACTTTCATAGACCCCTATTGTTTTCCTACAACAAATTGCAAACACTAGATGGATGTGTGGCATGCATCATAAAAAGGGAAGAAACAGTTTTTCAGGCAAGATGTTAACTACTGCAGCCTGCTATCAATATCTATAGGCCTGAATATGGTTCATCTCTGCAATTCACCAAGAATTGCTTTTGGAGATTGAACTATGCCACAAGGGACAATCAAAATAACTTACTAATGTTAATAAAAATGTAAGAGTTGATGACATCTTCACTGACACTCTCTTCTTCAATTCTTTAGAGAACAACATAATAAAATAACTCACAAGAAATATGTATCATTACAACTTTGTCTGACAAGGACAGAAAGGACCCTACCTCACAGTGATCTCCACTCAGCAAAATCCTGGGCATCTGAAAGACTTTTTGTCTCACTCTTCGTACATAATGAGCATTTTAAAGTGTAATTTCAGGGAAAAAAAAAAAAAAAAAAAAAAAAAGTTAATTCCTTTGATTTTGGATTAAAACTGGGAAAAGAGAGACCTGAAAATTATTTCTTTTTCCATTTCCACAATAAAATTGTGAACATGTGCAGATGGTAATAATGGATGACTAATTTGAAAAACAGTTACTTATGGGAAGCAGTAAGTGACTAAGTAATCTGGGGGAGAAGCAAAAACAGCTAATTTTCTCCTTGACTTCACTCCTCCAGTGAATGTATTTTACAGTAACATCAGATCTAATAATGAAGGCTACAGAAGAGGAATCTGGAATCTTTTCCCTTATCCTTATAAGCTGTATTTCCACATTCTAAAGATAAAACAAATCTCCATGACACTTCAGTCATCTCCAGTAATTCCATTCAGTGTGAACTCATAGTTGTGATTGGAGAACAACTGCTCTGGCGGAGCAGTGGCTTTGGAAGTATACCTCAAGTTCCACTAGGCAAGTCATTCGACCCACTCAGTGAAGCGATGCAGCGAGGAACTGAAACGGAAACAGAATGTACTTTCCCTTCCCAAAGAGAGGTAGCAAAAATACTCCATTTGAAGACCATAATCCATTTACATACTTGATCACATAATGGCTTATATACAGAGTTAGTCCTACACTTATTGTGTCCCACTGCACTGTTAATTTCAGTAAAAATGCAAAAAGACCAGAGTAAAATACCTTTTTATCAGAAAAAAAAAAAACAAAAACAAATAACCACAACAATGTGTTATTCTTTCTGTATCTGTAACACTCTGTCCAAATTCAAGCCATTTTTATTGACAAAATCACAACCACAGAATCTATGAGCTATTATCATCTAGTTACGATAACCCTACCTACTTTGAATAACTATTACAGATTAGAGCCAACAGATTCTTGATAGACAATTTCTGGTCGTAGTATTTCATACCATGCCTAAGAAGTTGCATTAAAAATTACTGCAACTAATACACTACTTTTTACACCTACATGTTTCAAAATATTAGTAAAATTAAACCTTTGAGTGCCAAGATTCATTTAATATCATGTGGATCAATACACATAGGCTGCTTCTTGTCACTTCTTTCAAATCTTTGAAAGAATCTGGCATGCAGGAACATGAACTGAAGAAATTAGCTCCATTAGCTACCCAGAAGTCTTTATCTGGTCTGATGCCATTTATGCTATCTCAGTTATAAGCCTATACAAAGCTAGACTAGTTTCCCGGTGGGCAATAATCAAAATAAGAAGTATGTATGAAGCATTTTATTGATATAAACACAGGTCTTTTCTGAAATTGTTACAAAATGACCTAATCTTGGGAGGGATTTCTACCTCATTCTAGCCAGACAGGAAATAGAAGTACAAGATTAGAAACACGAGATTAATAAATTAGTATGCAAATAAACTACTTACTCTGGTGCTACCAGCATAATGCTAACTATTAACATGCATAAATATTATTAAAAAACATATTTCAATTAAATTTTCAATCCAATAGTTAGATTGAAACTTTTGGTAAAATAAGGTATTATCACAATATTACAGACTAAGTTTTATATTTCACTGCAGAAATAGACATAGACTGTAGCAATGAACTTCAGAATTTTAGAATACAGATTCAAGGTAAGGTAATGGCAATTTATCAAATCCAAACACACTGGGAAAAGAGGGTTTGGGAAGGAAAACATATAGATGGATTTTCCAGGAAAAAAATACAAAAATATTGGGCAACTCTTTGCAGTTTGTCGCAGACCAGTATGAGCACTGATCAAAGAACTTTCTTTTACCAAGACTTTAAAGTAAAAACCTGTGAATTAATCATCCCCAGTACAAAAAGCATGATCTTAAAAGCATAAATTGATTCAAGACGCAAGGCTACTTTGCAATCAGTCTTAGGGAACTGCTAGAGGAAAAGACAGTTTAGTTATTTATTTCATTCAACAAATTAAGTAAATCCATGGAACTGTTCCTACAAAAGGTAAATGTTTATCTCTCAACCTAATGGATTTCACTCACAGAGTATATTTTTTTACTACAGTGTTTCCACACCAACACAAAACAGCTTTTCCTCAAGTGCAGACTTTTGCACAGGGCAAGAGCAACTTGCACTTGTGGATAAATGAGCATTTAACAAGTGGTGGTGTCATGCTTGCTTTTCTGTGAAAAAGATTCGGTAAAGCTTGAAAAATATTCAGTAAACAACCAACTACTATGCAACGCTAAAGCAAGAAAGACTAAGGGAATCACTTGCTGTAGCACCACAACTGAGGGGCTTTTGTAAGTACAGACAGAAGCAATCAAGGAAACACTGTACACTGGTTTGGGGTCCACACCTTATAAGAAAGAAATAAATCAAAGCTCAAAAGAAAAGCATTTCAAGCACTAAAAGGACTGATTTGATTACAGTGTGTTAGCATTCGCTTAAAGTGATGAAATAGTATTGGAAGTATCTTGAACAAATACAGGTTTAGTAAAAGTTAAGAGTTTGAAATATACAGAATTTGATTTATAAACATGGCCATATGTATTTCTGCAGTGTGCATGATTAGGTACTTAAACAAGCACATAAAAAAATTCTCTTACCTCTTGCCTATTTTGAATCCTCAAATCAAGATTGGAGTCCTTGTGTCTAGAACATACTTGATGTTTTAGGAAAAAAATATAAGTGAAATAAAACCCAGTTATTTTCACAATGCAACAGTATGACATACAATCATCTGAAACACAAGAGCTAACATCCCAGTTCATTTTGACCTTAGTCCCTAGACATAATAACTTCCAAATGTCTCTATGTCCAAATGATTTTTATGAAAAGTTACTCTGAATAAACAAAGCATGCCACTAAGTTTAAAAAAAAAAAAAAAATCCATTCTGCAAATAAATTCTGATTGCCACTGCTCAATACAACAAATAATTTTGTTACAATAAACACTTTGTCTAGTAAGTTAAAATAAATTTGGCAATGTCCTTCAACTAAGTAATCAACTGGCCAATGGCTCTCATGCCATTCTGTGCACTCAAACTAATAGTTCAGATACGACAAGAAATGTCACAGATCAGCACTCATAAATAAAGAATATGTAAGTTAGACAGCTGTATTTTATCTTTCAGCTTGTTCTTTCAGATGACAAACTAGAAAAAGCTGTGCAACACAACACATTACCTGAAAAAAATCAACAAATCCTGCACTGGCAATGCTTACATATTGTCATGAATAAATGATGTTTATGGTTACTAACATTAATATAATGTTTGCATGCACATCATAGGAGAAGATAGCAGAGGTGACCTGTTCCAGCATAACGTGATGCATAATTCACACAAGATTTGCATTATGTCCAGTAGCATAACAATGATTATGTAATAATCAACTAAAGGTAGTATCATACGCTGTCTGGATATGCAGAGAGTGAAAAGAAAGTTCATAACCAAAACTGAAAACTTGACAAGTCAGCCATTTGCAAGTCAGCAAATAACATAACACTCATTCTAGCAATCTGAAAAAATAAATTTCTTCTCTTAATTAAGCAAATACTACACAGCACATTCTCACCCACACAGAACATACACAGAATGATCCCTACCTTAAATCAAAATGAATTTATGCTATTCGCAAAACAAAGGTATCCTCAGCTTCCAACAAGAAGGATAGCCTCAGTTTCAAACAAGAGGGATCCTTATTGCCACTAAAACACAAGCCCTTTTAATGGGGGCTTTTTTAATGGAGAAAGTTCTAAGTTATTTTCAGTCACAAGGTCAGTATACAAAATAGTGACCTGTCTATGTCAAACTAAATATGTCTGTAGGGATAATAGTAAGTCCCCTTGACACCTGCAGAGAGATAGAAAATAATGGTAGTTAGTTTAAATAAGTTCTTCTACTAGCAGCAAAACAATAGAAAAGCCTGGTTTTCTTCACACTTGTGTATTTCTTCCTTACAATACATATAATGTGAAGTTCCTAGTTTAAAGTCTTGTTTCCATTTAAGAAAAAAAAAAAAGGAAAGAAAAAAAAATGGGAAAATAGCATCATTGATCAACTCACTGTTTTATTCCTTCATACAATGCTGGTTCTGCAACATGACTAGCAAGACTTCAGGTCTCTGCAGTAGCAAATTTCAATAAAACTTTCAATGGCAAGTAAGACTTTCAATCTCACTAGTTCTCACCACACTTTCATTTTCATAGTCCGTTGATTTAAATATAGGTGCACTTGTTCAGTAAAATTAACTTGAGAAAATCTAATTCAGATAAGAGCATCAAGTTTTTTCTTGACTCTTTAGAGCGATTATAGAACAAACCACTATTTACATTTTGTCTTCAGTTTACAATGAAACTGTGTTACCTATCACAACAGCAAAGGTTGCTTTTAATGCAGAATAAGGCCCTTCTCTCTTTTTATGGCACTTACAACTTCCACATGTTAGCTAAACTTACAATCTAATTCAGCAAGCTTGCATTTTAAAAAGGGAGGTCCAAGGAGTACACCGTTACCAATACAAGCTTCCATTTAGTTCCATAAGCTTCCACATGTGCACCAACTGGACAACAGTTCCAAAACAAAACATTGAGAAAATGTTTATTTTTACAACATACAAGATCTCCTTACACTTTCTTGTAAACTAGTATCATCTCTTAAAACAGTATCTGAAAAGTGAAACACTATCAACATGCATGCTTTTCAAAACAACACCTCCACATACACTTCATAGGTCCTATCTAGCTTAGAGATTCAATGTAAATGCTTCCACTCAGAGTTTCCCAAAGAGTTCAGGAATTTAATCTGGAATTATTTCAGTCCTGCAAGATCATTACTTGACAAAAGCTAAAAAGGCCACCTAGGTTAAACAGTCATATGGAAGCTATTAAAGCAAATGTAGAACGCTCCTTGGCAAGAAAGCTTACCTATATCTCAAATATACATTACCTCTTCTAAATCATGTAGGTAGTCAGGACAAGTAAGAGTAGGTTGAGCAGCTGCAGCAACTAGAAGCTGTATTTTACAGTCTCTTAGGAGCAGAAGTCTTTCACAGCATGGTAATTACTGTCTGCCATTCCAGGCATTAGTATTAGGTTAGCATAGTTACAAACTGTAAGTTAACTTTAATACAAAATTTACAAGTCTTCAGTCTTGATTTTCTATGATGACAGAAGAGTAACAAGAGTGATCAAGCTGGATAGATTAGTCCACATAAAGAAATCAAATAATTTTTTCCTCAAAAAATGGTTTATGAAATGCTTAAAAATTTATTTATTTCCAAACTTTCTGTTGCAGTACCTCTGTGCACCTCCTTAGAAGACCTCTTGACCCTTTTTTAATGCATCCTGCATGATCTCATCACATACCTTCAGTTCTGCACAGGTTCTGTATTCTCTTAAAACACATTATAAAATATCTATAACTTAAATTGGAATAGTTAAGCTACTTGAAGAGTAGAAGGTTTCTATTTCTATTTACCCTGTCACCAACCAAAAATTTTTCTGAATTACAGAACATCTTTATGAGACACAAGATATATACCACAGTTCAGATTCTCATCTGACCTGCCACTAAAAGAACAAACATAAAATTCACAAGTATCCTACCCAACAGTATCAATAATAATTTTTAAAAAGCACACTAGCTAGTACTAAAAAGATTCGTAACAACATATTTAGCGTATGCCTAATAGTTCATGCTGTATAAAGGAAATCAGTTTACAATGGAAGATACATTCACGGGATGCTCTTTAAACATAAAGTTCATCTCAACTTTTTTATTTTTTTTAGATTCAAACCTTTTCAACCACAAACTTTATTCTTCTGTGCAACTATGAAAGACAATTACGTAGGATTATTTTGAAAAATACAAACCAAAATATTTCCAGAAGAACGTTCCATAACATATACAAATAATAAAAATTTCTTAAACTGGTTTCTCAGATGCACACATTTCAGACAGAAGGCATGAAGCAGCTAAACTGATGTGACACAAAGCATGCGTAGAGTGATAATTTTGTAACAATTAAAAAACAACCAACCAACCAACCAAAAACAAACCTGTGAAGTAACAAAAAAAATCCAAGTACTTCATAAACCGTAATAATCAAACCTCCTGTGTGCCTTATTAACTTCACGGCATGCTAAACTCTCCACATAGGAGACTCTGAAGTAATACCTGACACTTTCAGACTAAAAGAGACCAATTTAAGAGACTAAATCTGACAGTACCACAACTCACTAAAACTCAGTGGTTGAGAAAACAACCAGAATTTTGTAGTATCAAATATGTGTGTGTGTGTCTATATGTATCCTTAGACCTTAAAACAACTCAAATCACAAGCATTCTGTATTTTACCCACGAGCACCACTTGATTTCGTATTTCTCACAAGACTTAAAACCCCATGTGCCACTTGGATACACAGCATTGAAAACACATACCTGCAGAGCTGGTCGTACACACAAGAGACATGTCCCCTCTATTCTCCAGCTTACTGGAAACGGTATCTCCAACAACAACAACCACCACCCCATCCCTCAAAGCGACCCTTTTTCTCAAAGCTGTGGGATTCTGGAGCCCTGCAAACCCAACCCTGAAGGTGAGGAAGCATGCAGGGACAACTCGGGACAGCTCCATCCACCCCGGCTTCCCAGAGGCAGCACTGCCTTGCCCGCAGCTAAGTTGCCCCAGGCCCCTTCACACAACAGGCAACGCTACTCGGAGGTAGGCAGTGGTCGAGTGGAGGGTGTCAGGGTTTCCCGTATCCGAAGAAACAGCCTCCTTCCCCTAGGGCAGGGGGGACCTGTCCAGACAGACAGAAGGAGAGGCACAGCCGCTCCCCTGGCCCACTGAAGGCTCCCTGCTGCGGGAGGGGTGTTTGGGGAGGGCAACCCCACCACAAACCCCAACCTTTCCTATTAACACACACACGCACCCCCACCCACCCCGAGAATACAGCGTGTTTGCTGCAGCACGGAAAGTTCAAGCACAGCCCACCGCCCCCACTTCCTTCCAAACCCCGGACACCTGGGAACCTGAGAGTCCGCTTCTCCGCAGACCCTCACCCCCTTGGGGCGGAGAAGACCCTCGCCCCGCACCCTCCCCCATCCTCACGCACTCCAGTGCCGGGAGGGTCCCCGCAGCCCCCCACCGCAAACACCTCGTGCAGGCCCGCTCCACCCCCAAGACCCTCGTCTGGCCTCACAAGACTCGCGGCCCCACAGCGGGGCGAGGGAAGGCCGGGACCTCGGCCTCGCCACCGGCGGACCCCCACGCCACGCCACCCCACGCAACGCCGCGGCCCCAGACTGACCTGACGGGGGAGGGGCGCAGTCGCCTCAGGGCTGGTGGGGGGTTTTCCTCCCCACCACCGATCCTCCACTCCCTGGCTCGTCCTTCCCCGGCCGCCACTGCAGTGAGAAAGCAGAGGACGCGAGCGAGGTAACGCGAGACAGAAGGAAATACCAGCCCCTGTTCCCCTCCCCCGCCAAAAAATAAAATAAAAATAAAAATGAAAAAAAAAAAAAAAAGAAAGAAAAGGAAAGGAAAAAAAGAAAAGAAAAGGGGGAGGGGGGATAAAATTAAATGGCTCGCCCCAGAGTTTAAAACAAAGAGGCGGAAATAACCGAGCGCGGCCCGAGCGAAGCCGAATGGGGGCGCCGCGCTCAGGGCGCATGCGCACGGAGCGCTCACCCGGGCACGGCTCTGGTCTCCCCCTCCCCCGAGGAGCGGGACAGGCGCAGAGGCTCTGCCCTGCCGCCCGCTGCGCGCGAGTGCCGGGGGTGGGGGGTCCAGTCGCTGTGGCACTGGGCATGGGGCTTCCTGTGTCACACGCCAGTCGCCTCGGAATCCTGGCCCGACTGGCAGGAGAAGGATGTCCGTGTCCCCGGCGTGGCTAGCCCTGAAAAATCAATTGAACTTGTGAGCAGGGTGAGGTTAATGAAGGTGATTTACTTTTCGGCAGGGCGGGGTAGGGTATGGCCCTTCATTGCTCTAAACTGTCTTATACCTCAAGGTTTTCCTCAAAAGCATATAGGCGTCTTTTTAAATGATGAGCATGGAACTTGAGAAGAAGCTGGGAGCACTGGTGGAGCGACACAGGTGACAAAGTGCAGGTAACTCAAACACTCCAACTGATGAAATCGATGAGGTTTTGGTGTCCTGAAAGTTGAAAGGTGTGAGGTCTTAGGTCAAGGAGCATGCTTAAAGCTTAGGAAGCCCACACAAAATTCAACTTAACACCAGGTGGCTGAATGCTGAGGTTGCAAAGACAAGTACTTAAAAGTTCACCTGTCCAAACTCATAAGTCATCAGAGCAAGCTTTATGTTCCCAATTATGCATGTATTTTGAATGTAATGCTTTAAAAACCCTGAATATTTCCCACTTCCTGCCAACCGAGAATGAGCCACAAGACAGTCTTCCGCTGTGTCTAAGAATGCAACTGGAAATGGGCTGTCTGACATGGCACAGCCCTACAAGATGTTTTCCTCCTTATCCAACAGACTACTGAGCTCTTACTGTGTACCAAGATGTCAGGGTCTGTGATTGGCTCTAGGAGATACGTTATCCAGAAGGTAAACCTATGTTGATAGAAAATATGCCAGCACTGTAGATTTGCTCTGTTTTAACTTGAAGCGTTGTTTGGTTAAATGGACACATCTTGTCTGTCAGAAATTTAAATGCTGTTTTCAGTTTAACCACAAATTAGTTTTTGTGGGCCTTTGCTTACAGAGAAAGTAATGGGGCCTCCTGCCTGACTTCTGGAATTGGGGTTCAAGTAGCCAGAAGCAAAAGTAACAAACTAAGAATGTGCATGAAATTATAAACCAGATGCCTTTTGGTTTTTTGTTTGTTTGTTTGTTTTTGTGGGGTTTTTTTGTTTGTTTGTTTATTTGGTTTTGGGTTTTTTGTTGTTGTTGTTTCTATCTGTTCCTAGTGTTTCCAGAGCCAGACATTGCAGATTGGGAAAAGCATTAAGGCTAGAGTCTGAGTTTTGGTTTTCTCTCACTATAGATGTTTTTTAGAAGATGGTACCTGCAGCAAGATGATATGGCCATGCCTACTCAAACAATTAACCTATTTTAATATACCCCTTGTGACAAGACTGTTGTGACCCTCAGAGAGCCAAGGCAATGGTTTGCTCTCTATTCAACCTCATTCTCCTAACATCAGTTCTAATGCCTTTGGCAATGCCATTTAGGAATGTGTTAGCCTATGTGATATACCTGAAATAAAAGCTTAGGCAGTGACTAGAGCATCTAAGATCATAACTGAGTAGATATGAGTGCCTTGTCTGAACTGCAGCAGTTGGTATTAGGAGACATGGAACCTTTTGTTAGCTTTGCAGTCAGTAAGTTGTGATAAAACTACAGGTGTTGAGAGAATGATTTGGGGGGAACTGGAAAGAACATTTGAAGGATTCTTTCTGTTAGCTTTACCTGCTTTAATCCTCACAGTGTTCACACAAACAAAAGCATAACATGAACACAGATGAGTTGAAGCTCTAGCTTCTGGAAGCATGTATTTCCTAGCTAAAACAATCCATGGAAGAGAATATATCTGAGACTTCTTGACAGGAAAAAAAAACTCAAACATCTCATGTAAATGAAGTACATTGTCTCCTTTAGGACTTCTAACAGTAAAAAGGTATTGGTCAGCATGAGCACATTAATGGTATAAACAGAGAAATGGCTAGAAAACGGACAAAGCAAGATATTTTTATGAACAAAAGTAAAGCACGAAGTGGGCAAATACATGACAAAATGAGTCTAGTTTAAGACTGACCATAATATAGTATTTACAAACAGCAAATTTGAGAATTAATATCTCCAGTGGTTGATCAGTTCCTTTTCAGAGCAATAGACCTATATCAATCCTGTAGGTCTGTGGATTAGACTGGTTGTGTTCGAGGGTGCTGAGAAATCCTGTTGATACCACTGCAAGGCTACTGTCTCTCTATTACCTTTGCAAAATCATGGTGACCAGGGGAGGATTCTCTCAGTACTGCAGAATGGTAAATATTTCACCCATCTTTGGAAACAACAAGAAAGGTAATTCAGGGAACTACAGCCTCACCTTGGTCCTTGAGAAGCTCATGGAACAAGCCCATACATGCTATTTCTGAACACATAAAGGAGAAGAACATGTCTTAATGAAAATAAATCAGAGTAGACCAAACTGACTGTCTTCTGTGATGAAATAACTGGTTTTGTGGATACAAGGAATGTGGTGATTGTTGTGTATTTAGCCTTTAACAACGCTTTTGTTAGTCTCCCACAATATTCTTGCCCCCCATTAGGACATTATGGTCTGGATAGGTAAAGTACTGGATGGGTGAAATATTGGTTGGATTGTTGGTCTGAACAAGTACTGGTTAATGGGTCGTATTCTGTCTGAAGGCTGGTGACAGCATGAAGTTCTTCAGCAGTTTTCGCTGGGACCTGTTTAATATCTTTGTCAATGACTTAGACACACAAAAGTGTCTGTGGACAACACCAAACTGGGAGTGCAGTCTATATGCCTGAAGACAGGGCTGTCATTAGAAGGGACCTAAACAGGCTGTAGATATAAAATTCCACAAATAGAAAGTCCTGCACCTGGAACAGACTTAACTTCCTGCAGCAGTACAGGCTGGGGTGTGACCAACTAGCTGGAAGGCAGATCTGTTGAAAACACTTTGTTAATTCTTGCTAAACATGAGCCACCAGTGTTCCCTGACACTGATGAGAATTAACAGCATCTTGGGATGTATTAACAGGCCAGTACACGTGGGGACATGACTGTTCTTCTTTATGTGGATCTTAACTGAGTTTGACATAGTGCATCCAGTTTTGGGTACACTGATATGAGAAAGATACTGATAAACTTAATGGAGTCCAACAGGAGGTCACAAGAGTCTGGATAGTGGGTCTGGAGAATATGTACCGCAAGGAGAAGCTGAGGGAACTGACTGATAAACCTGATCAAGTCCAGCAGAGGCCACCAGGATGGTAGAAGGTCTGGAGAACATGTCCTGCAAGGAGAAGTTGTGGGAACCAGAATAGTTCAGCCTCGAAAAGAGATGGCTTCAGGGGGACCTAGTAGCAGCTTTTAACACATACAAGGATGTCACCTACAAAAATCAGCCAGACTCTTTAGTGAAGCAAATGGCAGGAAAATGAAAGATAGTGGTCATAAAATGAATGAGGGAAGATCCTGATGGGACAGAAAGGGAGAAAAAAAAAAATCACTATGGCTATACTTAAACTTTGGAAAAGGTTTCCCAGAGAGGCTGTGTGTTGTGCGTCTTTAGAGGTTTTCAAGACAAGGCTGGACAAAGCCCTGCTTTAAGGAATAGGTTGTACTAGAGACCTCTGGATGTCCCTTCCCATCTAAATCTTGCTGTAATTCTGGGATTGTCAAGTAGAGAAATCAAAATTGTCCAGAAAAATGTAGATTACCGGGAGAAAGAGTATCTCAAATAATCCTGGGAAGACAGAGCAACTTTCTCAAACTGCTTAAGAACATCATTGCCTTCTAGCTAATGTGTGAATAGGCTGATCTAAGTGACTAAACTTTGTCAGTGAACTCTTGGTTGTTTTTTCCATGCTTGACATTTCACCTTGGCTACTATTAGCTCCCAGCAGACCCTCACCAATTACTGCCACGCTGAGTACATGTTAGTTACAACTGAAACCTCAGAGCATTTACAATCACCACCTTTCATACTCAGTCTTTCCCAATCATAAATCTTCAGTCAGCAGTGGATTCACTTAGATTTCTTCATTCAGGTTCAAATGGCAGGTAGCAAGCAAAAGACTGTAGTAGTAACCAAAGATCTCAGAGCTAAACTCCAAACATCCTGCAGCCTAAAACCAGAGAACCCAAATGTCCACCAGCTTTTGTCTTCTAGATGAATGTATCATGCACTAATTATTCGAGTAACCTATGCTTACTGGAAGTATCTACAAGATTTGGGCATTAGCAGCACAAAACAATCACTTTAGAACACACACTATGAATATATTTATATACTTATACATAGATCTAGATATATATGTAAAATCCTATGTTTTGACATCTCCTTTTTTGCACCTTTTTCTTTTACACTATCAGGTTTCTTTTGTGGATATCTGCACACACTTGTTTACCACATTCTGTTAAAATGCATGATTGTTACATACCTGCATTGTATTGCATTAGCCTGCACTGAAGCTTTGCATCAAGAATATAAAGCATTCCTCATCACAAACTTCTGCAAAGTTGTCATGCATTTAAAGTTTCATTTCCTAGAGATGCAAGATGCAAGTTCCTGTTCATTCAAGAATATCCAGATTTATTTTACAAACTTGTAGATCATGTAGGTTTGGAGAAATGCTTAGACAATGTAACTGTGCTTTGAGTTTTTAATAACAACAGAATTATATACAAGTGCTGTTCCAGCATTAAGTTAGTCATGATATTTGGCAATGGAATAATGATTTTTAAAATCTTGGGGAGACACCACCGACTTTTCTGTCTGACTTTGTGGTGTTTCCAGCCACATAAGCCTCCATTCCTCTCCTGCTAATGACCAGAGAGGTCTCTTAACAAATAAGAGATGGTGCACAGCATTTTATGAT